AATCCCATTCCCAGTGCATAAAATTCCGTTTTAGCACCAATAATAAACCCTTTAAGATATATACAGAAACGTCAAGATTGAAAAAATTGTTTTGTATATTTTAGAGTTATCTAATTTACAATCACATCTAATTAATTCATTTCTTGATTTTCAGATGAAGGTGTCTGGAAATAACATAACCAATATTTGTATGGTCATCTATAAACTAGCAAAGACTGAAAAGAATGACCAGATGTTTCTAGAAGAAGACATGCTTAGTAAGTAATTAATATGCTTGCATTTGCATTTCTCATGTGAACATTGCTTGCGCTTTCGATCGCATATGGATTGTTCGTGTGAACCTGAACGCTTTAGCCTTGAGGTTGTTTCAGGGTTTGATCAAAATTGAATAACTCATGCCATGTTCTACCACAAAGAATCCTTTTAATATTCCCTTTCACAGTTCCCTGTGCCATCTTGAAAGGTAGCTGTGGCCTTGCAATGATAGAGACCTTTTTTAACACCTTGGACAATTTATTATTCACTTCTCTATCATTGTGGGTTCATCGTTTGTCTCGCTTCATTGCATTTCCTTTGCTGGGGTGAACCAGACTTAGATTGCCTGCAGATCAAACTGGAATATGTACAGGAGGAAAACCAGATTACCTGCAGAAAAACCCTTGAATCAAGCTAAGGGAGACCTGCGTCAAAGTTGAGTGACCAAAAATTGTGTTCGAAATGCAAAATTAATACCATATTTCTTCATTTTGAACTCTAGGGTATCTTGTGGATGCATTAAAAGGTTACGATACCTTGACATACCGTGAAGCTCTGGTCTATACTACTGGTGCTTTAAAACACCTGAGTAATAATAATCCTGCTACGCAGCAAGAACTTATGTCTCTTGGGACAATTGAGGCACTAGCTAACTTGTTGAATACAATTTGTAATGATGTAAGTTATGGATCTGCTTATATTTTAACTCTAGTACACACCCATGGGTTTTAACATGGGCAATATTACGGTAACCAGTCAATTCGCCCACGGACCAATTTCCCCCACGCCAGTATGCCCATGCCAATCTGCCCACGTATAAAATCATTGAACATGCATTTGCCAACTCGCCCACGTTAAAATCACTTTAAGAGATATCTAACCGTATATGAAGACTACATAAAGTAGTTCGTGATTTACCAACCTTATTACTTGACTCTTAAGCTCAATATGAGCAAACTCGAAGTATGAGGCAGCTTAGAGTTTTTTGCCACTTTTTTCAAATGCATACTGTAAAGCATCTCTCTAGCCAATCAATTGGAAAAAAGATTTATTTTGATCACTCTATATATATCTGGGATAGTTTGTGAAAAATAGTTGAGGTATATATACGTCCAAGGGAGGCAAGGGGTTAAAAGTTTTTACAATGTTAATTTTAATTTTCTTTCTAGATTCCTCAGTATGGTAAACCAGAATGGCATATTTCTAACCTTCTTGTTCAGGTATCCTTAACTTCTTTTATAAAATGTGTTGCAAATTCATAAAAGTGGGAACCAAGGTCCCTTTTGAAAACATGCTAATAAGCTATCATCTTTAGGGTCGGCGTCCTTGATGCTTGACAATGCCTTAAGGTCCCTATTAACTAATAACAAACTTAGGCATGTCTGTACTTGTTAAACAGATAACTGGGGTTCTGCGATACATAGCAGATGTCAATGGAGCCAGAGAGCTCTTCCTTAGTCTTAATATTATCAAGTACCTAGGGGATCTACTGCACCATTTCAGTACTGATGAAGACTTAGTTTATAATACATCTAGAATATTAAGGTGAGGAATTAATGAATTTTTATATTATAGATGAGGCTGTAAGCCATGTGGGATGGGCTCGGAAATCGTATAAGAACATGTGTAATAGGTAAATTACGAGCCTTATAYGTGACTTTCACGTACTACTTTTTCGTGGGATTCTACCAGCTCACTAGATACACCATGCTGACAAGGCCCAATATAGGCTGTAACAGCTGCCCACAGTTTCTAGTTGAGCTGGCTCATTTTATGCGACTTGAAGTCGTGAAAGGCGGCCATTGGCACTCATCTTCAGTCATTTCATATAAGGCTCGTAATTTACCTATTACGCATTAATTTTTATATTGCGTAACTTAGAGATTAAATTTGAACTATTAGGGAGACATTGAAACCAGACATACTTGCTGTAAGTCAGTTACCTCTAAAGCTATTCTTGCTAACTAAGAAAATGAGCGTTAAAGTTATTTTGAAAATAACAGAGTCGCAAGTGGTTAAACCTAATTTCCTTGTGGGAATTCAATTTATTGCTGTGTGATTTGGCACAATATATAGAAGAAAAGTCTTAGACCTATCAGCAAACAGATAGAGCAGTTTTCATATGACAGTGAAATTCAGTGAAAAGCTCGCAGTAACAAATGCAGTTGTGGCATGGTAAGGCATTCGCCAGACCAATCACATTGCACGAAATTTACTCTCTATCCAATCAAATGCCTGAAACACAGCACAAACACAGTAAGAACACTGCCAGACCAATCACATTCTGCAAGAGAAATAATCAAAATTCTAGAAAACACCACGGTTGCGGCAAGGCAACCACATGACACCAAGCTTTTTCACAGTCATACCAAAACTGCTCTACAATCAGTAACAGTAGTAACTAGAGTCTATCATGTTGTTTCAACAGTAAGTTAACACTCTACAATGACTGCTGCACACAGCTATGTAGTTCAGAGAACTGTTTTAGAGCCTTGTTAAAGGCACTCAAAGACCATGATAAAAAACAGGTGTGTTAATGTGTGTTTGACTTTGATTTTGTATTTGAAAAGCCCGGGGTGTGGAGGGGGGTACTAAGAAATGTCAGAGGAGAAGCACGACACTTAGCAGAGTGCTTCTCAACACTTCTAAAGTGTTCTACCTACCCCAAATGCTTAAAACATTTTTTAGAATTATGACACTTTTTATAATATTATATGACTAAAAAAGTGTATTCTCAGGAGATTCCTGATATCAAATGGACTTGCTTTGCTTATGGTTTGTTTTTCTTATGCAGGAAGTGGTTGTTCGTATTTGTTTCATTCTTGGGAATCTGACTGCCAAAAATGATGAAGCAAGGAGTCAGCTATTTAATACAAAGTCATGTATGATGATACTCTTGTCTTTGATGAAGATGTACTCTAGTATGGAACAGGTAATGTATATTGTGTAATTCCAGAAAATATCCTTACTCCCCCCCCCCCCCCTTCCTCTCATCAATCAATCAAATCAATCTAAGAAAAAAAAAAGAATCTACTAGCTTTAGCTATCGTATCACAGCGTGGGACAATCACAACAGAGCTAGGCTCCAAACTAGTTGAAAGCCCAAAGATTGAATTAGAATTTAGTAGTTGATTTTTGAGGAGGGAGGAAAACCACAGAAGCCGGAGAAAAACCCTCAAAGTACAGGAGAGAACCAACAAACAACTATATTCACATACGACATCGAGATCAGCAGGACTCTAACTCAGGCCGCATTGGTGAGAGCCTGTACCAGTACTTCCCAATCAATAAACTTTATTTACAGTGCAAATCGAAAAACTGTGGGCACATAGAAATATTTCAAGAATGTTTAATAGCCAATCAGAAGCGTTATTGTTATCTTTCCATTATCTTGTGGTTAGAAAGTCAATTCTGATTGGCCAAAGAACAATAGAACATTTCTGGTATATTTCTAAGTGCACATGGGTTTTCGATTTGCACTGTAAAGGTGACATAAACTTTATTGATTGATTGATGAATGATTCAAAATATGATCTATTTCCTTTGCGAAAGAAATTGACCTTTTGAAGTCACAGTGACTCCATTTCCAAGGCTATATGACTGAGAAACCTTGGTTTCTTTCACTTGTTTTTACTCACTTATGTATTTCAAAGTCACTATTTCCTTTGGGTAATTTGATTCCATTGTCCATACAGCTGGGCCCGGTTGTACAAAGCCTGGATAGCTATCTGGCGGATAAATCTTTATCCAGTGGATAAGTTGATGCTGTTTTCCAATAAATTTATCCACTGGATAAGATTTATCCGTCAGATAGCTCTATCCAGGGTTCATACAACCAGGCCCAGCTGTATAACCTCTATCCTCTGTGGTACTCACAAAACTGTTATTTGTAATTCATTTGTTTTAGAGTATCAAGAGTGAATCCAGTGATTCTTCTAAGTCCCACAGTGACTACAGTAGTGGTAGTGAAAGCAGTTACTCGAAGAATGAGCCTCTTGACGATGTCCTTGTTAAGGTAGATATACTGTATGCTTCCCCTGAACTGGCTCTCTAATTGCTGATGAATTAATATTTATTTTTGTATATACTTTTTTCCTCAGATAATAAGAGTCATTGCCAATCTGTCCATCAATATGGATGTTGGTAGTGTTATAGCTGCTAATGAAGACTGTATTAATATATTGTTACAAATACTAGGTGAGTTAAGAAGTCATCAGTTGCACCAATGCAACCTAGGTTCAATTCCTCTGCTTGGAGCAGAGTTGGTCATTAGTTCTCTCCTATGCCTCAAGAGTTTTTCTCTGGGTTCTCCCTAGATTACATAATGTAAATGGAAAAATGGGAATGGAAAAATGGAAACCCTTTTAGTGTTTTTGGAAGCCATTCCAATGTCAAGGCACGTCATACCATACATTTACTATCAATAGAAAAGTAACTGAGATTTTCCTTCCTCAGTAAACCCGAATCAACTACTAAATTCCAATTCAATCTGGCATTGAAAGCTTAAAAAGAAAATCTGGCTTGGGAGAATGAGCATCCATTCCCTGTGATCAACATAAAATAAATTACATTTTAAAATCAAGACAAGACAATCTCGAAAAAATCTTTAATTTAACTCTATTATTGTGTTGACAATATCTATATATATATTATGTTTTTGTGATTTCGCTTATTTGCCAACATGAAAAAATATGTTTTTATAGACTTTAATTATTAATCACAGGAGGCTCTCTGCTTTCATAAGCCTGATGGTATCAGGAGGCCCCCTTGCCATTCGTAAATTTTGCATAAAATATATACTGTAAATATATGAATAAATATGGCAAAATACTAATAATAATAATTTAAAAAAAGATTATATCACTGAAAATTTTGATACATTTGTTTGTCTCTAGATACCAAAAGTATAGAAACCAATGAAGAGTTAGTTCTCAATACTGTAGCAACTCTGAACAACCTATCATTTTACCAAGACAGCAGCAGTGTTGTATTACAAAGACAAGTAGATATCACAGAATGTAAGTACAGAGGTCTGTCATGTGATGTCAGATGTCATAAATGGAAAATTCCTGGAATATAAAAAAATTCCTTGGAAAATGCCTTGAAAATTCTATTATAACCTTAAATTCCTGTGATTTTTCGGTCATCTTTGGTAAAGGTTTCGGTCCAGGAACTTTTATGTTGAACCCCTGGAAAACAGCAGTCTGCCATGTAATATGAAATGTCATAACTGGAAAATTCCTGGAATATAAAATTTCTCTTTTTTTCCTAATTTCCTGGAATTTTGTTGTTATCCGGCTTTGGTATAGGTTTCGGTCCAGGAACTTTCATATTGATATCCTGGAAAACATGACATTCAGTGAAGGGATAGAGGCTGTTAACTTTTTGCTAGGAAACCTATTTACATTTTGATTCTGGGTTTTAAAACTTTCATAACCGTACCATGAAAATTTCCTGGAATTTGGTTATTTCTCAGTTGTACAAATCTGATTTAAAAGTACACTGTATTTGTTTTTGTTTTAAGCTCTATTAGGTTTGTTGTTACCTGAGAACATGGATGCTATGGTGGAGGCCTCTCGAGTGTTTGGTAACCTCACCAGAAGCAAAGACGTCAGAAAGGTGTTAGCTGAACACAAGGGTAAGTAAGAAGAACAGATGCGGTGCTTACCATTTACCTGGAAAAAACCCAGGAAATTCCGGTTGGGAAACAAGTCGTATGTGCCATAAACCTTTTTTGAGATAGCGAACATGGTGAATTGTGGTCTAGCTTCGGTACAAACATTATGCCTTATATGGTTTCGTTTGTACCGGATCTAGACCACAATGCATCCTGTTTATCGAACTCAGAAAAGGCCTATTCCGATTGGATAGTTCCTGAAAACTCGGTCTTCCGATTGAGGTAATCCACTTTTCCCGCTCTTTTCGGTTCTTCCGGTAGACGCTTTTACCATTTGGCGGGATTCATAGTTTCCCGCTCTTTTCTTACCATTAGCAAACGAGACAAACTGTACTTAAATCTAAACAAGTGTTGACAGATTGAGTATGTATTGTTAGGACTAGGCTGCATTGTAACCTTCCTTGCTTAGTTATATTTTCCCCGTACAAAACCAACCTACAAGGAACCTACAACGTAGACTGTGTCATTGCAAGATTCAATGGCACACACAGAATGTTTTGATAGTTGAATAGTTGTTACCCAGACAGCCAATGTAAAGTTCAGTTGGCTTTTTTAAAGTTGAAAAAGGGTTGAAGTCCTTGGTGTCGGCCCTTCGTACCACACAGCATAAAGGTTGATGATGATGTTGAAAAAGGGTTGGAAACCACCGAAAGGATTGCAGCATGCATCGAAAGCTTCGTTTTCAACCAGCAGTTCCGCTAGACACAACGTCTCGTAGTCCTTTTAATAGTTTGGGCATAATGTTTTCCCATTTTTGCTAACGTCCACCTTTGTAGTGAGAATAAGCTTCTTTATTTGAGTTGTATCGATATTCAAGTGTCTTCTCCTGCGCAAATGTTAAGCAAAGAAATGATACTCTAGGGAATGACACGTGGGTAAACATTAGGCCCCCAAGCTATATTGGTCTATTAGAAGCGATATGTGTTATTTACAATATGAGTGACGATGTTGTATCTGATATACGAGGATGTGCATGTGACCTGAAAACTACGATGGAATTGGATAAAAATCTCATGAATGATTAAAATGAATATCATAAAAGGAATTAGATTACTGATATGAAATAATCGTTTTTTCAGTGGATGAAATAATGATAGCTCTTCTTGATGCTGGCGAGAGAGAAACAGTCTTCACTGCCTGTGGGGTTTTGATCAACCTGATGACTGATGATGACAGAAGACCAAAGCTACGAGAAGAAGGCGGCATTAAAAAGTAAAGTATTATGTAGAACAGAGTTTCGGTAGTTTTGTATGGCTAAGAAAATGTACGGTATGATGTGCCGTGACATTAGAATGGCTTCTCTCAACACTAAATTGGTTTTCCATTTTTTCGTTCAATTGATTCATTCACATTATGTACCGTAGAGTAGTTGTTATGAAATGGTTTCCAATTGTTCTTGTACAAGTGTCCCCTTTATATAATATACTAATAGGTAGTTAATGAAGTGGGAAAGTACGGTACGACATGCCTTGACACTGATAGAGGTTCCCATAACATTGCAATGGTTTCCCATTGTTTCCATTCAACTGATTCATTCAAATTGTGTACCCGCGTAGAGTCCTTGCATGTGACGTCAAAGCAGCTCAATTTGGAGAACAAAACAAAAGAATTCTAATCTCCTGAGAATTGGAACCTATTGTTTTGTCCTCCAGATTTAAGCTGCATTCCAAAGTGCTGAAAGGACTCTATTGGTCGTCAAATAGTCGAAGGTACACCTTACATCGGTATTATGTTATAGCACGTAAATGCAGCCATCCCTTATAGGAGTACAGAGGGAAGCAAGTACAAGACGCAAAGGAATCAAATCAATCTTTTTCAATTGCCTTCTTGCTTAGTGTTACCTTTGCGTTATGATTCTCTTTTTCCATAGGTTAATCGATGTCCTTCATGACTTTGGAAAAAATGATTGGCAGCTGTCAGCAATGGTGTGCCAAACACTGTGGAATTTCAGGTAAGCTAGAGGCGAACGTGTTGATCATCCCCGTTGCTTTTTTTTATCTTGCCTGCGGGTAATATATCAAAATGTATTTACATTTTTATCTTTGTAGCGGAGATATTACGACATCATTTGATACGTTTGGAGAGGAAGAAACGTTGGACCTTATCGACGTTCTCACAGAATATTTAGGTAAGAATTCAAATTATTTACATCCGTTTTTGTTGAATTGTTCCAAGAGACGCGGTGTTTTTAAGGTTTTTTTTTCTTATATTTTTCCAGATGAGGAAGTCATTTTTTCTTCAAGTATGGAAGAAATGGACCCTTCTCTATACGATACTCTCCGAGACATGTGGGACCAGGTTTTTTACCCTGTAGGATATAACCTACTCCATAGAATCAAGACCCATCACACTGACCTCGTACCCCTGGAGTCTCCGAGCTAGCACTGAATGAGATCATTTGTGATGGAGTGTCATGAGTGAGACTGAATTTCAGATTTGAGGTCTCCAGCTTGGATTCGGAATTCGCTTAGAAACAAACGCCGCACACGTTGGAATGTTACAAATTTTTCAGAGCTCTGGGAGCAGGTTTTTCCGGATATCAAAATTGAAAATTCTTAATGGACACGCTTTATTTTTTCCGTATTTTCGAGGGATTTGCACTTCCTTTCCTGGGCAAGCAGGAGATGCTCAGACTCCTGGATTTAAACTAGAAATTATCATGTGGGTTTTGGAAAAGATGGATTCGATTTATGAAGAGGGAAGTCGGTCAAAGGTCAATTATTTACTTTAGAAGAGGATAGTAGTTGCACCTTAGTCTAAGACGCAGCAGTGCTGACGTTATCTCTTTGTAGGTAAAATGTAGAAGCCATTCTTTGTTTAGAGAGTTTAGGAACAAGTTCTTGATATGTAAAAAGAGCTGAAAACACGTTATCATGTTTACAGAACATTGATGATGCTTGCAAATCACATTGAATTCGATCTACCTTGAACGTTAACATACTTTATACAGTGTTGAACGCTTCCCAAAGTGTTCTTTGTGTAGAGCACCGCTTTGCCCATAAGCGAGACATGGGACATCAATATATTGATGTCAATATATCTTAATTTTAGTACAGTATTTCTGAATTCTGCATGGGAAACCTGTTGGTAGAACCTCTCAAAGAGTTTCATTTTAGACCCAGAGTCCTGTCATTCTTAGTGCGCATGCTTAATGAAATAACTGACATTTGACATTTTCATCAAGCATAATATATACTACTATTATTAAGATATATATTATAATATTACAGAAATCTGGGGTTGAGAGTGAGAGTTTTTTAAGATAGTATGATACACCAACCCCACCCCTTCATACAATAGTGTGTGTACATATTGTCATATTTCAAAAGTGTGAAATAAATTATTACTGGGTTGCCTGTGGCAGCTCAGTCTAAATATGCGTTGCGTGTCTCCACATTTTCCTACGTCAGAAAATGCTTGGGTAGTGACGTGAAGACTTCTGGGTACTATTGCGCAATTTCTGCATTTTCTGACATGGAAAATAAACAGCTACCCCAGTAAATAATATGATAACAAAGGATGGTAAAAAGATAAGACATTAGTTGGTGATTTTGACTGAGAACATTGGGGTATTTAACCTTGTTGCGTCATGGCGCAAGTTCAAAGTCACGAGCAGTGTGAAATGCATAACGCAAAACTGTTTATTTCATAGCCTAAAAAAGGGCAGAACCCGCAATTATTTCAATATCATAAAGGGAGAATATCGTCTTACGATTTAAGCGAAATCTTTTTTCTTCTGTGAAACATTCTATTATCTTTTGACCAACATTGCAAACTTCTTCAGATGTACTAGGTCTCTGTGTATGATACAGGCAACCCAGTTAACGCCTATACACCGAATCGAAATATGGCGACCAATTTGAATAACTATTGTTATGCACTGACTAGCGACTGACTAGCCTCCTATACATGTGAAAATGCTTTTATGTTTCCACGTGAACACGAGGCTAGTCAGTCGCTAGTCAGTGCATAACAATAGTTATTCAAATTGGTCGCCATATTTCGATTCGGTGTATAGGGTGTTTTGTATAATATAAAACACACGAAAAAGTCGTAGAAAAGCCCAGCTTATTTACTGGGCTCCCTGTGTCCGATTTACTCGAAGAGCATCATGGGAATAATACTGAGCCCGTAGTTGTTCAGCGGTATCCCGTATCCAAGCAAGTTGTAATCAAACTAACAATGGCGTCCACACGCTTCAAAACATCTGCAAAAAAATATTGTTTTTGAGTGTTTAGCAAGAAAAAACTGGGATAAAAGATGGCCCAAAAGTTAAAACTCCTGAGCATGAAGGATGCTCGAAAGGTTTTGGAGAATGCGAACTTACCAGGTGAGTTTTTCTTCAAGTAAAGTCAGCGTGTTCGAGAATTGTCAAAAATTGTCTTGTACAGCTGAAAACCTTTATTTTTTTCTATTTTATCTTTTGTTTATTGTATTGAAATTTTGGCCATTTGAAGCAACAATACTTATTTTACTATTTTTAATGGGTTTTTAACTATTTTTTCTAAATTATAGTATAAGTTTTTCTAAAAAATATAAAGTTGAAAAATAGGGCCCTTTTGAGTCCCGAGAAAAATAATTTTTGCAAAACAAAACAATGTGCAAAACAATCATTGTCCTGGGGGACATAACGATGGGTTTATTTTTGCATAAGAAAAGACGGCCTATTGTTTTGTCCTCCAGAACAGTTCCTCTAGAAAATCAATGCAAGGGGTCTATAGCTTGAGCTTGCGAGCTATACATTCGTGTTGTACAAAGTTGAAGAATTAAGCCTTTCATTTGCTTAATGAGGTTTATTATTTCAGGTCTTCTTAACAGGGACCTCAAGATTTCCTTGTACTCCAAAGCTGAGCGTCTGGTAAGGATAAATTTTTTAGACATTTTTAAAATCAAATTAGAATTTAGAGGTTGATATTGGTGGATGGAGGAAGAACCGGAGAACCCGGAGGATAAACCCTTGAAGCACACAAACAAATCTACTCACGTACGACACCGAGCCTGGCAAGGCTCGAACCCAGGTCACATTGGTAAGAAGCAGCACATTAGTAGTGTACATCACCCATGCTTACCTCCTTATGGATTGAAGCATGGGTGGCGTTCGCCTCTAACGCGTTGTCTTTCACCGCTGTGAGTCCAACGGGTCGGGTCGCTGGTTCGAGCCCTGCGGTCGCCACATGTGAATTGAGTTTGTTTGATGTGTTGTTCTCTCCTATGCTATGAGGGTTTTCTCCGGGTTCTCCGGTTTCCTCCCTCCGTAAAAATCAACATGTGAGTTGAGCGTTGTGGGCATAGAATATTATATGTAGTGGTATTGCGTGTGAGTGAAAAATGTCCCCAATTAGTGCGAAAGCGCTAGAACGACTAGACACTTAAATAAAGTGATTTATTTTATTGGAGCCCATTCAAATCATGGTAGCTTTTTCTTTGGATTTTAGAATGGTCCCTAATCTTTTCATTGTACTTCGATTCATTAGCAAACTATTAGAGAAACCAAGGACAGGGATGATAGAGCTGTGGCTGCAGCAATAGAAATACAGCGCATATGGAGAGGCCATCATGCAAGGTACAGTATGAATGGATGAATAATAGAATCCCCTCGACCCACCCCTTGGAAATTCCAATCTCCTCTGTAGTGGAATGCATGGATCTTCTCTGAAACAATACAATATACCCTCCAAAGACCCTCCCTACCCCTTGGAAATCCCAATCCCCCTCTGTGGAGGAGGTTTTTATTAGCTGCATAAAATACCTTTACTAGAGTCAATAATGGTAGCTATTTTGTTCTTTCTAGATCCATGCTCTCTGAAATCCTTCATCCCAAGGGTAGTGGCAAAGAAAGAAAACCTCAGGTAACTTCTTCTCAGACAAGGACCTCAACCGTAAGCCCTGTCTGTCTTCACTATATAACCCTGTATAAGGCAGACGTAAAAGAAGAAGACGCTGGTGATAACCATCTTCAGCCCACTGTAGTAATTGGCAAAAAGCTGTTGTGGTGTCCCTGCCCTCATGGGAAAAAGCAAATAAATAAATAGATAAATAAATAGATAAATAAATAAATAAATTATCAGTCATTTTACCAGTCACTCAATTTACTAACTATCAATAATTAATATAATATTATCAATAAAAATCAATATTGATCATTTTCACTGAGATCATTGAAGTATGTGTGTGTTTTATTGTTATTGCATTCTCGTGTGCTTACAATTATTATTTATTTATTCTATTTTAGGATTTGATCAACATAAAAGCTAAATATGATAAATACACCAACTCAGTCAGAGAAAACCCTATCAGGTACTGTCAAGGTTCTATTTAATCCTAGACAGACAGAAATGGCAACTCATATTCAGATTTTAGAGCACACTTTTAATTTCATCCACTGACCCTGAAATGATTAACCTCTGGGCTTATCTTCTGAGTAAAGGCAATTTGCTAACTCACAGAACAAACCCTGAAACAACCTGTTGGCTTATCTTCTAAGTCAGGGCATGGCTTACTTACAGATTGAACCCTGATACAACCTCTGGGCTGATCTAAGTCAGGGCATGGCTAACTCACAGATCAAACCCTGATACAACCTCTGGGCTGATCTAAGTCAGGGCATGGCTAACTCACAGATTGAACCCTGAAACAACCTCTTGGCTTATCTTCTAAGTCAGGGCATGGCTTACTTACAGATTGAATGGTAATTTAGAGTTCTAATGGTTTTGACAGAGGGCAAAAACAGAGAAGCAGAAGAAAAACCCTTGAATCAAACTAGGGAGAGACCTAACAAACTGTACTCACTTGTAGTGTCAAGTCCAGATATCCAACCTGAGATGTCGCAGGGGAAGCAGTGAATGGACTATCACTACATTACCCTTGATTTCCTGGTCATTATTTTGCATTCATTTGATTTACAGTTACATATATATACATACATACATACATACATACTATGTACTTATTGACTGAGTGGGAGGGCCGTACAGGAAAATATTTGGCTCAAGGCAATGCCGTTTTTATCAAGCGCAGCAAGCATGCCTGGGCAGATACAGGTCATATGATAAATACATTTATTTTCATGTGTCTTGTCAATATCACCAATTCTCCTATAATCAATCTATGTTACATATTCTTCAAATTTTCAACTACTCAAAATTTGACCCTAAATGTTCTCAATAGTTTTAGAGAGTTTTGTGCTCGTACAATACAAAGATGGTGGAGAAAACAACTCCAGAAGCAAAGAAATATTAAAGGAGGTTATCCTAGTGCTCCACCTCCTACCACAAACGGTGAAGTCTCCCCCCAGAGAACTGAAGAAACACCAGAAAGCCGAGAAGAAAGCAGAGCATCTACTGCAACAGATAGACAAGGAGCAGCTTCCACTATACAGAAAGCTTGGAGAAAACATATTGTAAGTTATATCTGAAGAGTGTTAGCACTCCTGCCGCAAAGTCATACATTGTTAGTAAATTCTGTTGTTTTTAAAGTCAGTGACTGAAAAGATTATCTCCTATACATGTACTCTTCTGTTGTGTACTGTCCTTTCCTGTCCTGTCCCATCCCGTCCTGTCTTCTTGTCTCTCTTATTTTTCAATTTTTTTTTCAAATATTCATTGGTAAGTTAACATGAAATTTGCTTTGAGTCACGTTTAGCATACCCATTAGTTAGGAATTGAGGATGACGTAGCAGCATCACACTCTCTCCTTAAATGGTTAAATTTCAGATTTCATTTGACACAGTTTTTGGGTCTTTTACAAGTACTTGATTTCCAGGGTTTTTCTTCAAGTATATTGATTGTCGTAATGTGTTTCTATTGCTTGGGACAGGACGTACAAGTGTACAATTATTACAAAGACTTAATCAACTTTAAGAACAGAGGTGATCCAAAACTAATGCTAAGATGCATTAACCCTAGAGAGGTGAATAGAAGTAAGGTATCGCGGTTTTGCACCATCACATGATGGCAGCCATGTTAGATGGCAGGAACAATACAATCGTTTTACATGAGAAAGAATCCAATTCCCTTAAGCAAAGGGATTTTATCGTTCTGCCATCTAACCATGCAGGCAGTCCAAGCTGGATTATGGCCCCGGCATGTGACAGTGCAAAACCTCTATTATTTAAAATGTCAAATTCCAAACACAGTATTTCCAAACATTATCATGGCTTCATAGCTTATGTGATGACTGACAGAACCGATCCTGTTGGGTGAATGTGTACAACTATTCATCTATTCATTCATTCTTCCTCCCTTCCTTCCTTCCTTTCTAATCTTTCATGCCTTCCTTCCCTTATTCCTTTGATCCTTTATTCGCTCCTTCATTCCTTCATTCATTCATTCCTTCATTTATTCATTTTCATTGTTTGTTTGTTTATTCACTTTCAGGCAGATCTTCTTGATGCAGGTGCTGGAGTTCACGTTAAGTTCAGACTTGCTGGAGTAAGAAAAAGCTTTTACTTTATTATTTATTCATCCATTCATTTGTCCAGTTATCAATTTATTTATTTTGTTTTTCATTTCCCAGGAGAAGTTCCCACCCAACATCTACTACAAGATCTTCACTCACAGGAATATAGCAGACATTGGTGCATTCGCCCCTCGTGATTATACAGCGGCTGATAACAAGAGCCTTCCATGTAATATTATGCATAACAAAGGTGTCGAGATAAAGCAAGGTAATGACAAGCGTTAGAGGAGATCACCTAACTTCCCCACCGATCCTTTTTTGCTAAACCCTATAGACTTGTACCATGTTGCACTTGCTTACTTATGAGAGATGCTGAATTTAGATCTTTTTCAAAAAAATGGACAAGTATATGTGTTTTCGGTAATCATTCCTGAAGTTATGACAACCAGCATTTGAAATAGCTTGCTAACATTAATTGGTAATGAAGGAAAATTCTGTCTGCCTGCCTGCCTGCCTGCCTGCCTGCCTGCCTGCCTGCCTGCCTGCCTGCCTGCCTGCCTGCCTGCCTGCCTGC